AATGATGCATTATATTCCCCACACATCAAATATGTAAGAAGTTATTTTACACAGCACATTAAATTCATTCATTTTGATTTGACAGTTCATGTTTACGCAACAGATGGATTGAATTGAGACTTCCTAGGGCATACTTCCTTCTGAATGCATTTAATACGTGGAGCTTACGCTGCCATCTCCACAAGTAATGCCTACATCCCAACTGTAGTAAGATCATCTGTTGAGAAGCATCCTGCGTCAGCTAAGAACCAGGGTATATGCCCCCCAAGGGCTTCAGGGGGCCACAGTAGATGCTGCAAACAGGCTCCCGCTTCTCACGCTGAGCAGAGCGCGCGCTGCGGCGGTTCAGAGCTGTTCCCACCTCATCTGGAAGCCTGGTTTCTGAACCTGCAGCAGATGAATAGCGGCAAATGAGAAGGCTAAAGAAGCTGATATAGGACACATACTGATGCAATGGGAAATGACAGCTGACAACTTGTCCTCAGATGAGAAAACAGAAAATCTATAAAACACGCAGCCGTAAAAAGCATTAGCTGCCGGGGACCCTCCAGCGCTAGTGTGATCAGTAAATGACAAAGCAACCAAAGAGTCCATAAGGGTGTCACTGTATAATGGAACAGAGGGCAATAATTGAGGTGCCAAACGACGGCCTTCACCCATCAGGAAAAAGGATCCACCGCGGAGTGCGTTAGAAAACTCGGCCCTCTCACATGTTTCTTTCCTGGGGTTCCTGGCAATTAAGATTTTATAATATTCTCTTAAACCATACAGATTAGTAATTGATGATATAAGTGGACCCTTTGAAGTGATTAATTTGTTTTGCTAAAGTATCAATGAGAGAGACACATAATAGGTACCTAATAAAGGTCCCCCCAACGTGAATCTTTATGACTTTCTTAAAGATTTCAGAGGCAAGACAGCTTTAAGATTTAAATTTAACTGGGACTCAGCAGCTAGTTTCTCTCTATAGCCATGTACTTGTTCTTGGTGATACAGAAAAAAGGTAAGTGTTCTCTGGACTTTTTGTAGAGAAGGGATTTTGCACATGCCTGTGTGACATTAAAAATAATCATTATAATAATTATGAAGTTATGTGCTATAGATTCCTTAGCAATGAACTGCCATAATCCTTTCAAAATGATTACTAAATACATCCAAATTTTCTTTTGTTTTTAAGTAATTTAAATAAGCACACTCATATTTTCGTTACGATGTTGCTCCCTTAGGGAGAAAATGTCAAATGGACTAATAAAAGAAGACAGGATGCTCTTTAGCTAGGATGAGGTCCCACTTTATTGCTGTTGCCATCATTGTCAGTTACTTGGTTCTTGGCTCTCTGCTGCAACATAATATATATTGTTGATACAGTCCGCAGTTTCTACACTTTGACGAATATGGCGAAAACAGTTTTGTGAAAAGATCTTGCTTGCATGGTAACAAGGACATTAAAGCTACATTTAGGGAAGGTGAAATAATTACCCCAGCCATGCCCCAATACCCTTTTGCTATTCTCAACTCAAATATGAATTTTTTCTTTTAAAAAATCTGATATTTATAACTACTTGTGTTCAGTTTCTAATCTTGGCAAATCTAGCTACTCTTGCTGCTTGAAGATGATGTTTTTGACCCCCTGTTAGTTGGACTTTTGGTTTAATTGTTTCTCCCATTAATGGTGATAGATTTGCACAGATTTAGCCACACAGTGGTTTCCAGTTTCATTTGTGTTCAGTGGCATGTGTTTGCAGGGGTAATGGATTTGCAGCTGAAGACCCTTGCAAAGCCATGTGATACACAAAGAGTCCAGACCCTGTGACCTCAGCTCGATTAGCATGGCACTGTATAATGTATATTTCAGAGATTATTAGATTTTAGCACTGTGGATTCTTAGAGTATTTAAATTTGATTTCCAAGACTAGCTGTTAAGGAAAACAATATGCTTCAAGCTTATTGTTTGTAAGTGCCTAGACATATGACAGTGCAACATGTTGACTGTTAACAACAGCCTAAGTGGGTGTTGGTGCAGACCTTATCAGTGTTATTTATATAGCTCGTGTTTAGAATAAGAGCTTATAACTTCCAATTCTCTGTGTCACTTGTTGTTTCCAAAAGGAAGTGAGGTGTAACTACTGCCCAGATAGCCTTTGTTGAAGAGCTATTGCTTTGCAAGTTAACAAACCAGAAAGGGTAAGGGAAAGCGTGCTTCTCTAAAATGTTGTGAGGGTGCTCATCATTTAAACTGATGCCACCGAAAGGAAGTATTACTTTCACAAACAAAACACAGTGGCTTAGTCATTTTCCATTTCTGAATGATGGATGTGTCACACATCTGTATCATGTTTTTCTCAGAGTAAATGGCATACTATATACTTAAAGCGAAGCAGGCTCTACTGTGGAGTTGCCAAGGTAACTGACCGGCAAGCAGTGCAGCAGATTGCAGACAGGCGATGGAGTACACATGAATAAAGAAATGCGCGTGGCACCGTGAGACCCAGGAGGGCCGCGCTGGAGTGCGGCTTGGCTTGTAGATCTCAGGAATGCTCTTCAGGGCGGCAGGAACCCGGGTAGATGTTCTGTACTGTCCTCGGAGTGAGGTGTTACACAGGAGCAGCTACCCTTTCACGGTTCCACTGCAGGACCTGCCAAGGGCTATACAGAAAATAGAATCATTTCAATATTATTTGATAAGAATGGCCTCTCTTTTTGCTCATAAGCTAGTTTTTACCACCTATGGCAGCCAAAACTAAGGGAAACTGTTAGTAATTAATAATGTAAATGGAAGAAGGTAACCTATAAACTGCTACACACATAGGAGAGTGTGTGACAAAATTTAAATTTAAATGGGATATTATATATATTTAGTCCATAAACATGAGACCTGTGTTTACCTCTGCAGTGGTTTGTGTTAGAATGTGTTCATCCATTCACTAGGCATTGGTAAAGTTATTCAAATATGCCAGATACCTTCTAGGTGCTGAGAAAATAAGGTAAATAAGATTCAGTGCTGAACTTCAAGGTGTTTTTACATCTCTGGAAAGACTAAATTAGATAAGCTCCGAAGAGATTCCTTTAGATTATTCAAAATATTCCTGTGCTTTGGACGTAAACTCCTTTTTACATAGAGTGAAATAACTGCTCAGCAGGAGTTCACAGCTTTCCATAACTTGACTCTCTTCTTTGTGTTTCTCCCCCTTCCTTAAATACACCCCAAGATCTAGTGTCACTGGCTTACTCCCCTTCCTTGAAGGAGCCCCACGGACGGTATCACACAATTGTATCCTGTACGTGCACTCGCCTCTGCAATGCCCGAGTTCCCCATCTCTGAGTTTCACGATCGTGCTAGTACCTTAAAAGCCATATTGAATCCTACGTCTTACATAAATCTTTTCCAGATCTTTCTAGCCTCTGTTGCTGCTCATCTTTCCAGGCATTGACAGAGCAGCTTATTCCACTGGAATCATACCGAGTTAGGTGGGCGCTGGTCTCCCAAACCGCGTGATGAACTGCTGGGGGGCAGGGCCTGGGTCTCCATCATCTCTGCATTCTCCACAGCACCTTGTACCCCAGGAGGTGTTGTGGAGTCCAACTGCTGAAAAATCTCAAATTCTTACCCTCACAGTATTCCTATGATTCCTACACCCGTTTTTTTTGGAATGGGACCATTTCCACTGGTGAGTAAAATTGTTCCTGGGTAGAAGCTGGGTCCTCTAGAGGCCGTGGGAAGGCCTCTTAGGAATACCTGCACGAACCAAGTCAGGAAAGAACGTGTCTCCCTGCATACCTGGTCTGAACCTAACTTGCAGCTCCCTTCCTCTGTTACACGGCCTTTGAAGTTGTGTGTTTGGTAGTAAAGCTATGGATACGTGAAGCTACAAGCCAAATATTTTAGTTTAGTTTATGTTTTTGGCAGCCATCCACAGAACTGCAGGGACACGTTTTCACAGATAAACATTTTTGTGGGAGTTCCTATTTCTATGCTGAAAAATTTACTGTCATTGATCTCACTCTCCAGGGCTTTTAGTTTAGTTGTGAGCCTCAAGTGAGCAGCGTTGGGGTTCTTAAGGTTAATTACTACATTTACAAACCCACCAGTGATTAAGAGGGAGAACTGGCCTGATAGGGTTTATCTGTTTAAAAATTGCAGTCACTAGTGAGACAGGAAGATAGAAAACCAAGAGAGATTGTAGAGGTGGCAAGGGTAATGGCAGTAATGTGTTGGTGGAGATGCTGATATCAGAGGAAAAACAATAGGCGGAAAACCAATCAAACCAATTTGGCCATTTTAATGTACTCCCATCACATATCTTAAGTAACCACTAGATCATGAAATCCGCCCTGTTTCACTTAAAGCAATTATTGGCACTGGATTTTATTATGTAATTATTATTTAGGATGTAGGATTGTATTGTGTGGATTACTAAATGTCAAGATCAGGTAAAATGGAATAAATCGCTTCTAGGAGATATGAGAAATAACACTCAGAAAAAGTGTTGATGCATTTTTATATATGAAAGTTACCTTACATAAATCGATGGTATTATATACTCTGATGTGCGTTGTCTAGCAAACAGTTAATAGAACATAGATTCTAACCATTTAAAAATCACTCTTTATACTTTGCTTTGAAAAAAAGGGGAAACTGTAGCAATTATATAGTTGGTCAGTTCTTATAATGTATTTCATTGGTAGTAATTTCAATAAAAAGAAATTACCAAAAAGATGCTATGAATGTCTTAATTATTTAATAACAATTTAAAATATTAAAATGTGCCTAATTTTGTTAGAGTATTTAAAAAGTCTCTAAACGTGCCACGTTGAAAGAGTTGTTTGATGTTTTGTCCTAAAATCACTTCCTTTTAAAACAAACTTCTTAACAATACCTTGCATGTTGCTTCAGTTTTCCCAGAAATGTCTCCATAGTGGAACCCTTCTTTACAGTGCAAGCAGATTGTCCAAAGCAGATCTCATTGTTTTGGTCTCCTATCTTTCCTCTTCATTTTCAGTGTACACCATCTTCTCCAAGGTGCACTCGGATCGCGATGTGTACCCCTCTGCTGGTGTCCTCTTTGTTCATGTTTTGGAAAGAGAGTCTTTTAAGGGAGAATTTCCACCTTACCCCAAACCTGGTATGTCCTCAGTAGGGGAAAAAATGTGGTTAATTTACTAAATTTTTCTTTTTGTTCAGTGTGGATAATCTAGATGATACATGATAAAATATTTTTAACATTATTTGAAATGGTGTGGGTATGTGATAAATTGGTGGTTGTAGGATATTTCCCATCATAAGGTTAGAAATCTATTTACAGAAGGAAATCATTCGTTTTTGAATTTTGAAGAAAGCATACGTTTGGTTTCCCAATCTTGAGTTTTGTGCTTCTGACGAATGATCTACCTATATTTGCATAGAAATAATTACAGATGCACATTTATGATTTTTCATATTAAAACTTAGAATCTTACGTAGCACATTGATTGTTTGGAAAGTATATATATGTTGTAGAATAGGATGAAATATGGTATGAAAGAGTTCTTAAGAAAGCTTTTATAATATGAAATCATTTTCTGTAACTTCATAATAATATAATGAAGATTAATGCTTCCCTTAAAGTAATACCAATTGCAAAGTCTTATTTAATTCACTATTGGTTTACATTATGTTATGTCAAATTGTCACAAATGGTATGAAATTAATGAAGAGATAGAAAGGCTAGCAAGAGAAAATATATTAAATTATTATAATTCTTAAGTAACAAAAATGAATTTTCTGAAAATTATATCAGAATTAATATAAATATTACTTTTGTAGATTATATGATGAAAAGCGTACTTGAAAACACTCATAAAATACAGTTAACCATGTTCTCAACAGCATTCTAGAATAAAGGGTAGTCTTTTATCAATTATGTAAAGAAATGCTTTTTTTGTGTGTGTCTTTCTTAAGTATATCTTTATTGATTTCAGAGAGAGGAAAGGAGAGGGAGAGAGAGAGAGAGAAACATCAGTGACAAGAGAGTCATTGATCAGCTGCCTCCTAGGTCAATGCTCAACCGCTGAGCCACTCCTGGCCGGGCAAGAAATGTTTTTTTAATGTGGCATTCTATGTTTGTAAAACTATTTAGCTAAACCTTCTGAGCTGCAACTGTAATGCTTGAGAAGAAAACATGTACTTAAGAGCATAGTTTCTGAATTCAGCCAAGATTAAATTCTAGTGTTAGCACTTAACGTGACCATAAAGAAGTTACTTAACATGGAAATTTGCATATGTCATCAGTAAGATTAGGGTTAATGATAGTACTACTTTTATAGGTATGTTTCAAAATCAGATGAAATAGTGCCTGTAGAGTCCAGGCACAGTAACAGGGCCAGGCACGTGCTAATAAATGATGCTATTATTATTATCATTAATAAATATCATTATTACAGTTCTTTTGGATTTGTAACACCTTTCTCAATGCATCCTCCATTGTTTTAAAATTACATTATTTTCATTTTAATGATACTTGTATAATTTTGGGATATTCCCTAAGATTAGTTTGATAGTATCCAGAGTTTCATGAAAGGAAGGCTTCTCAAGAGAATGAACTCATCAACACGATTGGGACATTTTTCTGAAAGACAGCTGTCTCACTGGTAGAATTTTCCTGTTCCTTGGTGACCAAAATAAGAAAAAAGAAAAAGAAAAGAAAATTTCCCCTGAAGTTGTATGAATCTACTTTCTTTGTTACATTAGATTTCTAAACAAACTAAACAACCAAAAGGATTTTTTCTTTTCGTGGGGCCCTAATCTGAATTTCCAGATGGATTTGGTTTTGTGTGTATGTGTATTTAGTTTGCTACAAATGTAAGAAAAAAATTTAGACAGAAATATTTTGATTGAAACTACCAAAGCAACATGTGTGAAAATAACTGACTTGTATTTTAACTCTGTGTTTCTTATCTAGGCGAGATTAGTAATGATCCCATAACATTTAACACAAACTTAATGGGTTATCCAGACCGACCTGGATGGCTTCGATATATCCAAAGGACACCGTATAGTGATGGAGTCCTATATGGATCGCCAACAGCCGAAAATGTGGGGAAACCAACAATCATTGAGGTAATTTCTTAGAATGACCAAAATTATATTTTTTTGTAATACGAGTTTCAAATGTTGAAATTAAAATTACATGGCAATGGTTTTCAGTATTTTATACATGGAAACACATTAGATAACGTTTGGAAATGTACCATTCCTTTCTATTCATTTATACAGTTTTTTCAAATTAAATTTATTGGGGTAATATTGGTTAATAAGATTAGATAGGTTTCAAGTGTACATTTCGATGATACATGATCTGTATATCGCATTGTGTGCTCACCACCTAAAGTCCAATCATCTTCCATCACCGTGTACCACCCCCCACCCCCTTCCCTCTGGCAACCAGCACCCTGTTGTCTGTGTCTGTGAGTTTCAGTTTTATATCCCACATATGAGTGAAATCATATGGGTCTCCGCTTTTCCTGACGGACTTATTTTGCTTAGCATAATATTTTCAGGGGCCATCCATGGTGTTGCAAATGGCAGTATCTCGCCTTTTCTTATGGCTCAGTATATTTTATTGTGTATGTGAACCGTATCTTCTTTCTCCACTGCTCTATTGCAGGACACATTCGTTGTCTCCCTGTCTGGGCCACCGTGAATAGTGCTGCAGTGAACACAGGGGTGTATATATCTTTGCAAATAAATGTTTTCAATTTTTTTGGGTAGATACCCAGAGGGAGTGATTTCTGGGTCATATGGTAACTCTATTCTTAATTTTTTGAGGAACTGCCATGCTGTTTTCCACAGTGGCTGTACCAGTTTACATTCCCACCGGCAATGAATGAGGGTTGCTTTTTCCCCACAACCTCTCCAACACTCGTTATTGCCTGTCTTGTTGCTAATACCCATTCTGACAGGTGTAAGGTGGTATCTCATTGTAGTTTTGATTTTCGTTTCCCTAATTGCTAGTAAGATTGAACATCTTTTCATGTATCTGTTGTCCATTTGTATGTCTTCTTGAGAGAAGTATCTGTTCAGGTCCTCTGCCCATTTTTTAATTGGAGTGTGTGTTTGGTGTTGAGTTGTATGAGTTCTTTATGTATTTTGGATATTAACCCCCTTTCAGAGCTCTTGTTTGCAACTATCTTCCTCCATTCAGTTGGTTGCCTTTTTGTTTTGTTGGTGGTTTCTTTTGCTGTGCAGAAGCTTTTTAGTTTGATGTAGTCCTATTAATTTATTCATTTATTTTTGCTTTTACTTCCCTTGTCTTTGGGGTAAAATTCATAAAATCTTCTCTAAGACCAAGGTCCATAAGTTTAGTACCTATGTTTTTTCTTCTATGTAATTTACTGTTTCATATCTTATAGGTCTTTGATCCATTTCAAATTAATTTTTGTACATGGGGACAAACTGTAGTCTAGTTTCATTCTTCTGCATGCGGCTTCCCCCCCCCCAGCACCATTTATTGAAGAGGCTTTCTTTTCTCTATTGTATGTTTTTGGCTCCTTTGTCAAAAATTATTTGCCCATGTGCATGTGGTGTTGGGGCTTTTAATTCTGTTCCATTGGTGTATATCATTTCACAGTTTTCAGTTTCAGCTTTTATCTAAAAAAAGAGCAGTACAAATTAGTGGGAAAATTGAGACATTTAAAAATTAAGACATTTAAAAGAAATAGATTACTATAGTATGAATTCTATTTAAGAAAATAAATGAAAATTTATTTGCTCCATATTTTAATTTCAAATTTCATGTTCATTGAAATATAGTCATTATGCAGACATTTTATGAGCCTCTACCATGTACGAAGCATTATGATAGGTGCTGGTGATTGAAAGATGAATAACAGGTGAGTCGAGGAGTTGAAGCACTGAAATGGAAATACATACTTAGCCAACACTGACGTAACTGTTATAATAAGAAGGTGCTGTTTGATGCAGAGCTGTAAGAGGGTAAATAGGAATTCACTTCACAAAATAGAAAGAAGGCTATCTTAGGCAGAAGAGACAGCCCATCAACATATTGAAGGTATTAACAATCACATCTGTCTCATAAGGGGCAATGGTATATATCTGAAGAGATGGTGCCATAGATCATTGGGGGAAAAGATGTCTATTTATTGAATTGGTTAGCCATGTGGCAAACATTAAATTAGATTCTTACTTCACAGGAAATAGAAAAGTCAGATCTAGATTGAGGATTTAAATGTGAAAAGCAAAATTTTAAGCTATTACATGAAAATGTAGAACTTTCTGAGTTTGGGTTAGGGAAGGATTTCTTAAATAATACCTAAGTATTTTTATTAAGAGAAAAGATTGATAAATTTTTACTACATTAAACTTGTAAATTTCTGTTCCCCAAAGGAGCCATGATAAAAAGACAACCCATAAACAGGAAGATTTACATGTATACACACATATATATACATACATGTATATACATACATATATATAGCTAATGGTGAGTATCTAAAATATAAAAAAGCATTCCTACAATCCAATAAGAAAAACACATGAATAGACATTTCACTAAAGAGGAGACATAAATACCAATTAAGAAGCTTATTCTCAAGTAATGAGGAATATTCAAATTAAGATCACAATGAGAATTTTCCCTCAGTAAAATTCATTGTGAGTGGATGTGGAAGACAGTACTGAATGTCTCACATAGCTAAGTAGCACTTGTACCCTGTGATCTAGTAGTCCCACTTCTGGGTACATACCTGAAGAAACACTTGCCAGTGTCCACGTGGAGGCATGTACAATCATGCTCATTGAGCAATGTTTGTAAAGAAAAACACAGAAACCCCAGCAAGCATTGGTGACTCAGAAGTTCATCAGCAAGAGAACAGATAACTAAATTGTAGAGTAGTCAGACACACAGTGAATGTTTACAGCAGCAATGAACTTAATCTTCCTCAGTCATGGGAAAAGGTTTTAAGCATATTAATGTTGCATAAAAAACACCAGTACCAGAAGACTACATACAGTTTACCATTTTTATAAAGCTAAAAAAAACAAGCAAATTAAACAATATATTTTAAGCATACATGCATTTATAATCAAACTGTATTTAAAATGAAGGGGATGGCCCAGCCGGGCGTGGCTCAGCGACTGAGCATCAACCTAGGATCCAGGAGATCGCAGTTCGATTCCCCGTCAGGGCACACACCTGGGTTGCGGGCTCGATCAATGACTCTCTCATCATTGATGTTTCTGTCTCTCTCTCTCCCTCTCCTTTCCTCTCTCTGAAATCAATAAAGATATATTTTTAAAAAAATGAAGTCAATAAAGATATAATTTTTTAAAAGTTTAAAATGAAGGGGATAATAAATACAAAATTCAAAATGGCTATTTCTGGTTGGAGACAGGCAAGAGACTAGGATAGAGAAATATATGTGTTGAATGAGGATCCACAGGGGTTATTATGTTCTTATACCTTATAACTAAGATACAGTGTTATGAATATCAAATAATATACTAAAAATGTAATGATGAAAATTTAGCATATCTTCTATGAACAAGTAGTAAATAACTCATTTCTGTATCCATACATAGTAACATATTTATAATATTTTTAAAAATAATATAGTCAAAAGAGTTTTGCATATTTTAAACCAATATTTAGTCATATAAATCTGCTTAATTTGTTCTGTAGATATGTATTAAACATCTAAAATAGACCAGCCACTCTTCTAGAAATAGGGGATCAAAAAAGCACGTACACATGTATATACCTCTCCCCTACGAAGGGTTTCACATTATCATAATAAGTAAAATTTGATTGAGACTATTATAGTATTTAAATATCTCATTAGAAGTGATACAAGGACTGCATTCTGTTATAGCTGTTAAAATTAAACATTAAATATAAACTCAGGTAATAAAATGATTCCACCTGATTCATGAAATATTCTTCACTCCCTGTAGTAGCCGTGATTTTAAAAAAACACACATATTAGAATTTGTGAAATTTACAGTAATGCCATTTGTGATAGTTATAGGAAGGCCAGCCATAAAAATATTGCCATTCATTTGAAAATATCTAATATTTCTTTCTGAGCTTTAGCTTTGAGATATTATAACAAATAGTAGAAGATTGGTAATTTTTCCTCATTGAGAATATGATTAAGTTCTTTTCAGGGTGAGCTTTTAAAATCATGAAGATTCCCAAATGAAATCTTTATTACATTCTGTCATTTGCTTCTTTGTAAACAAGAGTTCCTAGTTTATTTGAATGCCTCGTCTTTGCTTCAGTGTTAATCTAATTAATCATGTGTCCAATAAATACAGCCGGAAGTCATTAAACCCAACAGAAATCTCCCAGATTGTGGAGAGATTTTTAACTTCATGTAACAGTATGCTTTTCAGAATATGTGCTTTTAAATATTTGTTAAAGGTTTGGAATTACTCCCAAATTTTGATTTTTACTATTTTCGCAAATATTTCTGTGTAATTTATTTCACTTAAAGCTCATATGTGATGCTATGAAAATCTTTGATATTCACTTTTAAATGAGCAAGATATTTTTTCAGTTTAAGTCAGTTTGTTCTACTCTTTTTTCTCAGTGTCAACCACAGCTGCTATCACTGCCAGAAGGCTGGTGCTGGGATGCTAATACTTTGCACAATCTATTTGTTTTTGGGTTTTTTTGAGGTACTGCAGATCTGTCTGAATGATTTCATATCTGTTATAAAGTTAATTATTCCTTGAGTTCTGAAGTATTATCCTGTTTTTGGCCTTCGCTTTGTTTGTTGTTTGCAGTGGCTGTTTCTGAGTTGACTTTGATGTGAGTTCATTGGCTCTGCAAATGTTTACTAATATTTGACTGTACAAAGGGATTGATCTGGTGTTTTGAGCATGTGCCATAAGCTTTACAGACCATGACCCTTACTGCTTTACTTCCATCATAAATAAGAGATGATTTCCCAAGGGTTATTCATGACATTTTTTTTGACCGGTCGGTGCACAAACAACACAGAATGTGCTTGTTTTAAAGTGTACTTTCCAGTGTAATCCTTAAGTTCCATTTAAAAGTACAAAAATAAATGGTTTTGGTGTTTCTGAAATTTTAGAATGGCACTAGTAAGTAACGCCTAACGGTGAATCCATTTACTAATGGTGCATCTGCATTGCAATGAGCACTTAACGGTCCTCCGGGAAAGGGTCTTTCTGATTTTAACTTGTTTCAGCATGTTAAATAGACCTGACTAATTATTTATTTCCCCATAATATTGCTAAAAGCTCTGAGTTTTTACTGCCCAGAGAAGGAATATTTTGTAAGTATGTAAACAAATAATGAAAATGGAAAGAAGGACAATTTGTTTTCATTTTTGTCCTTAATGAATTTTATTTTCCAAATAACATTTCGCTTCTTTAATATGACTTTTGTTTTCCGATAGATAACTGCCTACAATAGGCGTACCTTTGAGACTGCAAGGCATAATTTGATAATTAATATAATGTCAGCGGAAGGTAGGTATGAAAAAATATGTTGCTGATTGTTTCCTTATTTACAAGAAGTATTTCAGTATGCTTTATATCTATGTAAAAATACAGTTAAGGATTTTAAAGTACCAGATACCTAATATAACTAATGAAATAGTAAAATGTAGAAAAGAAAACTAAGTAATATTTAACTTCTTATGAAATAGCATGATGTGGTATGGTGCCAGTTTATTTCACCAGGGCCTATGCTTTCATCATCTATAAAATAAAACTAAGGATAGAATTGCTCTTCTAAGTCTGGGATACAGATTCCATGAATTAGGCTTGAAATGTGCTTCACATGAGGCTGAGCACAGAGTACACAATCAGTAAGTATTAGCTAGTTTCATTACTTTACTTTAAAACTTATCATAGGTTATAGTCCAGTTCTTTGTGACGATAAAGAGTTATTGATGGACAGGAGTAAACTGTAATGTGGGTCCCAGTCTCCTTCCTAATAGCTAATTATGCATCAGTAATAGCCGGAGTCCATCAGCAATTTAGAGTTAATATGCTGAAATTATAAGTGATTCCCAAGGATTTGGAAGGACACAGGGAACATTCTAAGAATTATACTCTCAGATATTCTGACCCCATTTGGGCATTTGATTGGGAAAAATATATACCACTAAAAACTTTGTAGTTAAAATGTACGTGTCATGGGATACTCCTCTCTATACCAGATATCACTTACGAGGGTAGCAGGAAAAGAATGGACTAGCGTTTCTCCTCCTGAAAACAGGAAAACTGTGTGTGTCCTGAGTAGGGGAATTCTTCTGTTTACCAGTACAATTAAGAACAAATGGGCAAACACAAAATACTTTATCAGGACCTACTGATTTGGATTTGGATTTTATGATAATTCAGCAAAGGCTAGGTTAAAAATTGCCTTTACACTATACAAAAGAAACAATTTCTGTAGAATTGATAAGGCAATCCATAATTGAGGAGGTTGCTTGAAGACTTTAAGCCCCTTTACATGAGTTTTTCCCAGGGGTTTTAGCAATATCAGTTGCAGATAACAAATCTGCTAGTTTAAAATTTAAAATAACCTTCATATATAAAAAGCAAGTCCAAATGCCAGTTCTGTAGGCTTGGACAGAAGATTTTCTGTCCACATTTTCACTTCCCCAGGGCTTTGGTAGGTATTGACGTTTGGATCAGCAAGACTTGTACTTGGCTCCAAGTGTATTTGGATGCTTGCATCCAATCTAATCAGTCCCTGTAGAATTGGAAAGCCCTTAATGAGCAGAATAATTGCAAAGTTTCCTTTCTCCTAAGGACTTCAACAGTACAGTTATATAGTTACATTAGAGTATAGATACAGAGTCCACAGGCATCCTCATAGGTGTTGTTGATGTGTGAGGACCTGTGTTCAAGCAGATACTAGTGGAAGACTGCTAGAAAACTGTAGAATTGAAGGTTGGCTTTAGGGACTATTTATCTAAAAATAGGGGTTTTGAAGGTGTGTTGATGAGGGAGAAAGAGTAGATGGGCTTTGGGAGCCTCCGTTTTTACTTTTGGCAAAGCTGCTGTACTGCCTTTTACAGAGGGTCCAGGGGCCCAAAACTGTGAAAACCAGGGAACCAAATGACATGCATTTCTCCTTGCTGGTATGGATACAATCTATATGGGCTCTAGGATGTACATCTTTGAGCGTGACCTACACACATTACATTTCTCCCAGATAAAGTTAGGAAAAGAAATAAGAGTTCAGTATCAGGATAGCCACGCTCAGTCTGACTCCTTGGTCAGCTGTCTCCTGCTTCAAGAAGCCTGATGGGAAGTTAGTCCTGTAGACTCACACAGCCTGGAGCTCAAGGAGCGTACACAGAGTGATCTCTAAATTAGGTTTAGTACCTCAGAGGAGGCCTGCCACCAATCTGTTGGCCGACTGCTCCCTTGGCCTCTGTGATGTCCAAATATAGTAGGCATGGGATTTCCCCAAAGTTAGAAAGCTTGGGTGACTCATCTCTGGGAGTCCTGGCAGCCACGCTTGGCCGGGTAGACAGCGAGCAGCTGCGCAGCCCGGAGTCTCTGGGGGGCGTGGTGGCGGCCGGTCTCATACAAGAACCACAAATGGGGGTCACATGGATTAGGAGAGCCAAATAACAGTTCTCTAAAAAGTAGCATTGATAATAAGAAACAAGTTTTGCACACTTCTTTAGAAAAGTGGATGTAAAAACACTGAATGAAATTAATAGAGGATAGACTTCTAGCATACTCAAAAACTATATTGGGCATTATTTATAAATATTATTTATTGCCAAGAAACCATTCTTCGTGGCATATTTCTGCACGACTACTTCTCAGTATGGGGATAAATGCAGTGTGATTAAGCTACTGTTTATCTGCATGAAATAGAAATGTATCTATATAAAACAGGAAACCTGTCTACATAAAAGAGAGTAAATATGTCATGTTTTAGAAGATTGCAGATGGTCTGTACGTCAAACAAATCTAACAAAACCATAAGCAGAGTAAGTGACAGTGTAGGAGGTGAGTGAAGAACCTTCTGTGATTGGGGTCTTGAAAAACTCGGTCTTTAGGAAGAGACACCACATTCCAGAAAACTCTTGAAAACTGCGAAGCCAGAATATCTATCCTGATGTCACCACTGGCATCACATGTCCTTTCATGTTAAAGAGGCTTCCTAAGAAATGAGGTCAGTTATTTATTGTGTAGTTTTTATTTTTTATTTTATTATTAAGAGTACTATATAGATACATGAGTTTCAATGAAATAAGTCAGAGGGTATTTACATAGTATAATTACTCCTGGGGACTTGAAATCTGTGTGTAGTCTGGAAACATTTTCCTTTTAAGGGAAGAATTTAGATAACCAACCTGTTCATATTATTATAGTAATTGCTAAAGTTTAATATTTTGTAAGTTCTTCCTCTGTGCTGGGAGCTCCACTGAGCACTTTGTATACAGTGTCCTTTAGCTTAGGTAAAAATCATGTAAATTCAAACGATGGTAAAGGTCGGCTTCCCCTTCTGAAAGTATGGAAAACATACAGGTACCTATCACCCTCTGGTTGTGAGTAATAAATGCGACAGTTCACCTCAGTCCATTACCTTGGCTTGCCTCATATTGTTTTTTTGTTTTTTTTTTTCAAAAAGCAGCCTTTATTATTATAGAAATATTATTAAGAAAAAGGAAAGCTATTTTTTTTCTTAACAGAACAATTAGAATATGGGAAATGGTGGTTTATAATTAACATTTGAGAAACTGAAATAAATTATATTTACTTAGAGTTTCGTATACTGAGAGTGTGAATTGGACATTTGGTTGGTTTAAAATGTTAATTTTGAAATCTTTTATTATTTATTTATTTTTACTTTTTTTTTTTTAAATCCTCATCTGAGGATATTTTTTCCATTGCTTTTCAGAGAGGGGAAGGGGGGGGAGGGAGAGAAAGAGAAAGAAACACTGATGTGAGAGAGACACATTAATTGGTTGCCTCCCAGCTGGGGCCGGAGATCGAGCCTGCAGCGAGGCACGTGCCCTTAAGCGGAAATCGAACCTGGGACCCTTCAGTCTGCAGGCCGATACTCTAGCCACTGAGCCAGACTGGCCGGGGCTAATTTTGAAATCTTTGGAGGGAAATATTGATGAGACATTGGGGAGGAGGGAAGCTAAATCTCTAACTATATGAGATAGGGAATTTCATTAGAAATTTAAAATAGAATTTTTCTAGAATATTTAATTATGGAGTGATCAAAATAGTGATATTGTTATAATTTCAGAATTCTTATTGAAAATATCATTTATTTTAGTGAAAAGTAATGTTTTAGCATGTTCCAAAAAGACCAGTAATACAGTTATGTACTGTATAAACACAATTTGGACTGCATATAGGACATGGTCCCGTAAGATTATAATGGAGCTAAAAAATTCCTATCACCTAGTGATGTAGCCATCATAAGAGTGTAGCACAATGCTAAGCTCTTTTTTTTTTTTTTTACAATAAATTGAGTGTAGCCTAAGTGTACAGTGTTTATAAAGTCTACAGTAGTGGACAGTAATGTCCTAGGCCTTCACATGCACTCACCCCTCACTCAGTGACTCACCCAGAGCAGCTTCCAGTCCTGCAGGTTCCATTCATGGTAAGTGCCCTATACAGGTGTTAACAATTTTTTATCTTTTATACCATATTTTTTAATTTAATTTTTCAACTTCAGTTTACATTCAGTATTATTTTGTATTAGTTTCAAGTGTATAGCATAGTGGTTAGACAGTATATCATATTTTTACTGTACCTTTTCTATTTTAGATACACAGATGCTTACTACTGTGTTATAATTGCCTGCAGCACCTCGTACAGTGACATGCTGTACAGGCTTGTAGCCTAGGAGCAACAGGCTATACCCCATAGCCTGGGTGTGTGTAGCAGGCTGTACCATCCAGGTTCGTGTGAGTGCACTCGGGGGTGTTTGCACAAAATTGCTTAACAACGCATTTCTCAGAACGTATCCCTGTCGTTAAGCAACACATGACTATACTGCTAATTAAAAATATGACATTTCAGGTCATATACCAATAACCCATAGGCAGGTACTGATATTTTATAATGTTCTCTCTATTTGGAAAGAATATTGCTCTGTGCCTCAACTTCTTCTTCTGTTCAAATGGGAATAGCACTACTTAGGGTTGTAATGATTAAATGAGACAATGTATTTGAAAAAGATCAATTAATTTTTAAAACACTATAAACACAAAATATTATTCCTACCCATGTAAAGTTCCAGAAGTGCTCATTCATCCTGGGTGAGGCAGGGGGACGAGGCCAGCAAATTGGAGGCTGACTTGGCATTTTTAAAAACCATATCTTATAATTATTAACTGCCCTGCTGTGCCCTTGGATTTCATTGTATTATAGATCAAATTCTGTGTCAAATGTATGTTATGTTTTTAGATACGTCCCGTTATACAGAAAGTCTTTAAAGTCAAGTATTACTGTCATTTTCCAAAGCCAGGACTGTGACAGAAATCAACAAATCTAGAATTGTTCTTTTGTTTCTTTTTCAAAAGACCACTTCATTAAAGATATGCATAACCTTTTTCACCAAATTTAGACTTCCCGTTACCATATCAAGCAGAATTCTTCGTTAAAAATATGAATGTAGAAGAAATGCTGGCCAGCGAGGTTCTCGGAGACTTTCTTGGGGCAGTGAAAAACGTGTGGCAGCCCGAGCGTCTGAATGCCATAAACATCACGTCAGCCCTGGACAGGGGTGGCAGGGTCCCGCTCCCTATTAATGACATGAAGGAAGGGTAAGCAGACCTTTATCTTGTTGCCTGAAATATGAATTTTTAAATATGGTGATCTTATCAAACTTATTATAGATGGGAGATGGCCTATTGCATTTTTTCTTTTTAATAAGAAATGTGTATTGTAAAGATACGAAAATGCTAGCAATTTTGTATATGGACAAAGGGGTTACATTGATGGTTCTTCCTATCTGATGTTCCAGGTCCTGTGAAATCTAATTGTAGATCAGGATCAGCAATCATAAATTACAGCGCTAAGTCTTTTGTACCTTCCATAGAGAAGCTGATTATTTAGGGCCCGGAATTTCAAAGGAAATTGATGCCGCAGTTATCAGCTGCAGAAGGACAAGCAGACTGCTGTAACTTTATTCTAGGAAACTATTTCTTTGCCTTTAACATTCTTTCCACCATGTGTCGGTGACTGATGGCTGAAGTGGATTTGAAACCCATTCCTAAAGCCTGGCCTTGTCACTCACGTGCTGGATGACATTGGGCAAAATGCCGCCCTCCTGTGCCTCAACTTCCACATTTGCTCCAGTGGGGACTTCACTCTCCCTCAAGTTTGTTACAGTGATTAAGTGAAACAATGCATTTGAAAGAGACTTGTCTGTTCTCAAGCCTTAGGAATACAGAGTATGACTCATACCCTTGTAGAAGTTAAGGAACACTCTGATTGAAAAGCTCGAATGTCTATGTCAACCAAACTTTGATCTTTAATTACTAATCTGTAGGTTGGGGCAGATCTGTCTCCCCCTTTTTTACCCAATCCTATAAACGTGAGATTCGGAATGAGTTACGTTTTGCGTAGCATACCCCTTTCCAAAGCCTCCTTTGTCCATATTCCTGGTAACATTTTCACACAGGCAGTATCTGGAATTACCTAGAATGCCTAGATTGGTAAGAGTTAAATTGAAGGGCAGCTGCAAAGGAGAACTTTGTTGGAAATAAGAGAAAATATCACTAATGGACGTCGCTGAAGTATGAAGGAGTGAGCAGAAGTGGGGTAAGGGATAAGCAGGGAGCTATAAAGGCCAACCTAACAGATTTCAGAATGAAACTGTACCTTGTATGTGACAGCAATGTGTTCTGAAGTCAGCCAAGCACACTTAGAAGTGCTTTGAGTAAAATAGTTGCTTTATCTCCTGTCGGTTGGGTGGCTTTTATATGAAAACATACTTCTAGAGTTCAAATTTTTAAGGGAGAACCATGGAAAGAGAAGAACAGAGGTATCTCCCCTGAAAACCTTCTCCAAATGGGGACTCTTTCAACATTTGTGAAAGTAGTGTGTTCTGTGATAATTGTTCAAACGGTGAGCAAAGATGTTGGAGGGAGCAGCATAAAAACCAGGCATTGGGAGAGTTTTCCATAGTGGTGCTTTCTTCTAGGTTCAACCTTTCTCTCATCAGTAGTGCAGACCCCACCCATACAGGCACTTTCAGAAACAACTACACTAAATTGAACTAAATAACTCTCTAAACCAAACTCGGACCTAAAACAGTGCTTCCCAGCTATGTCTAGCCTGAGAATTGCCAGTAGGCGCTTTGATAAAAATACAGATACGTTCCAACCTCTGATTCCCCCTAGAGATCCTGAATCTTTGAGTCTAGGGCTGGGCCTGAGCATGTGACTCTAAATTAAGAACGGAATTTTTGTCCTTCAAGTACTTGTTAGAGAATTCAGTCATTAGCTGCCTGACCCCCAACACCTGCTAGGAGGCAGCATGTGCTATCAGACATTTGAGAGAACCAGTCCCGTGGCATTTATTTGGACCCTGTTGTCTCAGATCCCTTCCCAACTTGAAATGCTTTCCATGAGTTTTAATTTAATGTTAAGCCATAACCTTTCCAAAGTATTCAAAAGTCTTTCAAAATAGCATTTCTATAAATTATACCCAAAGCCAACTCTATGACTGCAATATCCCTATATAAGCACTAATGAAATAATATCCTCCCGGAGTAGAATTCTGAAGAAAAACTTGTCTCTGGGAATGCTTTTGCATATTTTCTTTAGTTGTTATATAATGTCAGGGTAACAACATTTTTTTTTTTACCCCTATTGCCTTAAATTTAGAAATAAATCCAACACTTAACTCATCTCTTGTGCTTTCCGTTCTTTTTAATAGTGTGTATCATAATTATTAATTCATGTAATAAGTTTTTGCCTCTGTACTTTCTTTTGAAAATAGCATGGACTACAAATTCCTTTGAAAAATAAAATAGTGAAAGGATCAAGAGATAGGGCCAGACATAGAAAAAAAAAAAAATGCATCCCTTTTCTAAAATATACTCATTTAAAAATATTTAAAATATTTTTATTTAAAATATATTTATTAAAAAATATACTTATACAGCCCTGGCTCAGTTGGTTGAGTCCCATGCACCAGAAGGTTGCTGGTTCGATTCCCAGTCAGGGTGCATGCCAGGGTTGCAGGCTCTATCCATGGTGGAGGGCTAAAAGACATATTTAAAAAAATAAAAGAAATAAAAATATACACTTCAGAAGTATTAAGTACCTAAAACTTGTGTTCTACTTTACACTTAGTATAGCCTCAGTCTCTGATCTTTAAAAAACAACAACTCCATGAAATGTTTTCCTATTTTTTCATGGCATCCATAATCCACTAACTGCACATGTTTCCATATTTGCTTTATGTAGTCAGATAAACAGCAAATGAGTGAGAGAAGCTGTTGAAGTAGACCCATGGAGCAAACCTACAGCCCTTCCACAGCCCAAGGCACCATTAAATGTCAGTCATCAAGAACCCACTCAGCAGCATCCCAGCCCCTCTTCCTCCTTGACGTGTGTTTTTCATCTCTGTAGAACTCACTGACAGCTTTCAAACTTCCCCTAAATCTAACAGAAAACAATTATAAAGATTTATGTCAAAGTGAGTAAGCTCCTGCAAAGGAAGGCTGAGCCTCCTGGAAAGATTCCCTTCCCCTCGCCGAACCCGCAGCCCCAGGGCGACTGTGCTCTCTGAGTGTGTGCTCTCGGTGCCGCTTTTGCTCCTGATGCTGAGCCAGAGGCTAGGGCCTCGGCTGATGCCCTTAGCCTGGATGGAGCTGGTGGAGAGAGGAGCAGGGTCATGTTTCATTCTGGGCATGGCACGGCTGCCAACCTGGGGACAGCGACGTGGTGTAAATGGTGGCCACGAAGGGAGTGATGGGGTGTGAGGATTAAAGAGTAGACTCATTTTTCATAAGAGATTGTCAGACCTACCACTATCTCCTCTGGTTACCAAAGCATGTGGATCTAGCCCCAATCAACCAGAGAGAATCCTGGTTTATTCTCTGGACAGTCTCACAAAGTACTCCCCTTAATTAATTGTCTGCTTTTTGGCCTGCCAAGGCCTCAGCGAGAAGTTGCACTTGAGGAAGATAATGTAAGTCAGCGGCTGCCAGATGCCACTCTGATGCAAGGTCATGGTCCTGGGCCAAGCCCGAGTGCTCTGCTGAATTGTTCCCATGTTCTGCGATTTACAGGATTGTCTCTTATCTTAAATAATGTACCTTCGATATTTTGGGCGCATTATTCTTATATAACGTGCCTTCGATATCCTTTTGTCTGTGGAATGATGGTGACAGGAGATAGGAATTTTTGAAAAAAGTGTTTAATAAAATAAAAATCGAAGACCTGCATAAATCCACTTCTATAAGCCTAAAATTAAGTAAATGAAATCAATGCAACTAGATGCCTAATATCTAATCTAAGTTCTATGCATACATTCATGGTTTTCATTCATAGTTTAGCATTTATTGTTTTTTTGTGGAGGAATGGTATATTAGACTCGGGGTACAGTGATTTAAAATATACAATCTGTGTTCACAATCGGTTAGGGGCCAGGCAAGTAATCAGAAGATTAGAAAAACAGTGTGGTACATTCTACAGTTGAGGTGTTCACAGAGAGGAGGGCTCGTCCCCCACAGCAGGTGGGTGCGTGCAAAGGGTTCATAGAGGTGGTGAATTGAATGAAGCCTGACCTGAGTTTAAAATATGAGTATAAATTAGCCTGCTCAAAAAATGAGTAAGGGGGATTCTAGGCCGAGGGAACAGCTTGGGCAGAAGCCCTTAGGTAGGCGAAAGCGTGGTGGGTTTGGAAACCCACTTCGTGTGGAAATGGACAGGGATCCAGAAGCGGTAGTTACCAAGGTAGGAGGCAGAGCCCAGACCACGTGAGGCCTTGTGCACCAAGTAAAAGTGTTTGGAGTTTTTCTCCTGAGGCGTTTGGGACCTTTGCAGAAAATGGCTTATGTCAAAGTTTTCATTTTAGCAGGTGGGCCCTCCAAGCCTTCCAAATGAAAGAAGAGAGCAAACCCAAATGTCTCCTTTCTGCAAGCAGGAGGCCCCCAGAAAACCAGAAAGGTCGGAGCCCGAGTGCCTCTTCCCTCCTGAGAATCCAGTCCTCCAATGGAGAGGAGTGAGAGAGCAGTAGGACGAGACTCTAGAAGTGTCCTTTATTTTGTTTTTGTTCTGTATTAGATCCAGTACTTGGATAGTCAGGTAAAAAAATACAGTCATTGGACCCATTTATCTGGCTATTGCTGAAAAAGGCAGGTTGGTTTTTAAAAAAATATATCTTTGCCCAGCCGGGCGTGGCTCAGCGGTTGAGCATCGACCTAGGATCCGGGCGATCAGGGTTTGATTCCTGGTCAGGGCACATGCCCAGGTTGCGGGCTGCAGCCGGTCAATAGTTCTCTCATCATTGATGTTTCTCTCTCTCTCTCTCCCTCTCCCTTCCTCTCTCTGAAATCAATAAAGATATATTAAAAAAAAAAAATCTTTGATTTCAGAGAGAGGAAGGGAAAGGGGGAGAGAGAGATAGAAACATCAGTGATGGGAGAGTCATTGATCGGCTGCCTCCAGCAGGCCCCCGACTGAGGATCAAGCCCGCAACTCGGGCATGTGCCCTGACCGGGAATCGAACCTGGATTCTAGGTCAGTGTTCAAATGCTGAGTCATGCCCGGCCAGGCAAAAAGGCAGTTTTGACTTAAATTTTTTACCTGTTTCTCAGTTCTTCACATTGTATGTATAAAGGCCTCAGTAAATGTATTTTACCTCAGGGGAAATTGTGTTGCTCAAATTGGAAGATAAAAACCTTCATAAGGAACATGTCCTATCTAGTGTTTACCAATTCCTAAGATTCTGGACACCGTGTTTTGCTAATGTTGCCTGAGAGCCTGCTACCTGATAACGTGCTCTTGTGTCATATGTTTACACACATTTGAAAGTTTGGAAATAAATGGCTGAAGTCATAAAGGTAAAGATTATCCTCATAAAAAAATTTTAATTTCTGCATATCAAAAAGCCAGCTGAAAGGAAAATAAGAGCTTATGAAACTGTAATTTTAGCATGTATAACAGAGTTGTTATACCTGTCCTCATGCAAAATTATTTTTAAAAAAGCCAACATGTTGAAACTTACTAGTTCTACAAAAGAAACAATATATACACTTTTTTTTTTTTTTTACCTACAAGGCAATTCCAGTATCTACTTTTCTTGAGCATAACATTTGTAATCTATATGCATTTTATTTATTAACTTATTTTCCCAGCTTGATTGAGATGTAATTAACATATGTTGTATAAGTTTAAAGTGTACAACATAATGATTTTATGTATATGTAAAAATTGCAAAATGGTCACCACAATAAGTTTAGTTAATATCCATCCCCATGCATAGCTACACATTTTGTTTCTTGTGATAAGAATTTTAAAGATTTACTCTCCTAGCAACTTTCAAATACATAATCGCTTGTGTTTTTAAACTGGTATGATGCTTTTCATTCATTTATTTATTCTGCAAGTAGGCTCCCTGAGGACAGTGAAAAAGACTGGGATCAAGGAGAACTATTAAGGGACTGTTGCTTCGCTCCCTATGGAAAGTGATGGTGACTAGAAGTAGGGTTGTAGCAGTGGGATGGGACAAAGTGGACAGGTGTGTATGAGAGTTCTTTCAGGGTGAATGTCAGAGACTGATGATGGATTGAATATGTGAGAAGAAGGACAGGACTCAAAGATGATGGTGCTGGAGCATCTGGCCGTGCCAGTCACCGCGAGAAGGAGCTAGGAGGAGGAACAGGTGGAGGTGGGGTGGGGTAATGATGAGCTCAGTTTGGAACATATTAAGTTTGTGAAGCTTATGGATCATCCAAGTACAGATGAAAGTAATTTGGCAGTATGTGTCAACTGTCATAAAAATGTTTCCACTTCTAGGCATCTCTTCTAAGATAGTAACATTAAAGAAGATGCACAGAGATAGTCTTTGCAATATTATTTATAACATCAAAAAATTGGAAACAGCTTACATGTCCAACTCTGAAATAATTGCTGAATAAGTCATGTGCACTTAAAAAGTTTATTGCCTCACGACTATAATTACAAAGACTGTACAATATGGAAAATGTTTATGATGCATTAAGTGAAAAGGGATACAAAGTTATATTTTAGAGACCATTGCAATATGCATTTGAATAATTCTGCAGAGTACATTGGAAAATGAAAATAGTTACCTCAGTAATATTAATTCTGTTTTTGTATCCCAGGTTTTATGTAATGTTTTGTATTGCTTTTTATTTTAAATACGTGTTTATTGATTTCAGAGAGAGGAAGGGAGAGAGGAATTGCCAGACCGTTTTCCAAACCAGTTGCACTATTTTACATTCCCACCAGCAGACTAGGAGAGTTCCGATTTCTTCACGTCTTCACCAGCACTTCCTATTATGTCTTTTTTTATTATAATGGATGGAAGTGGTATTTCATTATGTTTTGTTTTCTCTTTTGCTGATGGCTAATGAGGTCAAGCATCTTTCCATGCTCTTATTGGACATTTGAATATCTTCTTTGGAGAAATGTCTATTCATATTCTTTGGCATTTTAAATTGGATTATTTGTCTTCTGTTATTGAGTTGTAAGAATCCTTTATGTATTGGAAATACAAGTCACCTTGTTAGACCTATGATTTGCAACTATTTTTTCCCATTTCATGGGTTTCATTTTCACTTTCTTGAAGTGTCCTTTGAAGCAAAAGTTTTGAATTTTGATGTCCAATTTATCTATTTTTTAAGTTATTGCTAGAACTTTGGTGTCATATCTGAGAAACCATTGCCTAATCCAAGATCAGGAAAATTTATGCCTGTTTTTTTTCAGAGTTTAATGATTTTAGCTCTTGCATTTAAGTCTTTGATCTATTATGAGTTCATTTTTATATGGTGTGAGGTAGGGGTCCAACGTCATTTTTTTTTTTACATGTGGAAATCTGGTTGTCCCAGCACCATATTTTGTAAAGACTATTCTTTCCCCCAGTGAATTGTCTTGGCACCTGTGACACAATTCAGCTTACTGAATGTTAGAGTTTATTTCTGGATTTTTAATACTATTCCATTGATCCTACATGTCTATCCTTATGCTAGTCCCACATAGTCTTGATTAATGTTGCTTTGTAGTAAGCTTTGAAATTGGTAATCGTGAGTCTTCCAACTTTTTTATTTCAAGATTCTTCTTTTGTGTGTGGCTATTTTGGGTCCCTTGAATTTCCATATGAATTTTAGGATCAGTTCGTCAGTTTCTGCAAGAAAGTCAGCTGAATTTTAATTGGTTTGTTTCACTTCATAAGTACCTATAGCATTGTCATTAGGAAAATAAATATTTAATTTAGAGTAATTTCCTAGTTTTTTCTTTTGAAAGATCTATATGATCTTTCTATCTTCTCAAGCTGCTCTAAGATTGTTTAAATGCTAATGTCATCTTCTTTTTTATTTGTGAATCACCTGTCGGTCAATTAAGTGAAATTATTTACCCTAATTGCTAAGATACACGCCAAGAAAATAAATTTCATTTACCTAATTTGTGTTTAACAAATAATAGTATTTTTCTTATATGAACTTCTTAGATAAAACTCTTTGAGACCTTATAATGAGAGATCTAGCAGTAGGGGTCCGTGAAGTAGAAAGGCTGACAGAACTCTTGGGTAAATAGCTAATACTTCCTAAAGCTCCATTACCTCCAGGGGTGTAATTTCACAATCTTATTAAAATGATTCAAGGGAAGATTTATTACTAATAATTATTTATTATTTTAGCAATCCTATTATTTTCTAAACAATTTACTTTTAAGAATAATTTTTAAGTGTAAGTAATCTACCAAATATAGAAATCAAAATGGGACGCACAATTATTTTGAATGAAAATAAGTAGGATGGAAAACGTTTTTAGAAGTTAACATAGACTTGAGAGAGTGTCTGGTGCACCAAGGCTCTTGGTAAATATTGGCCAAATGAAGGAAAAGATGAAAGGAAGCCCCTACACGAATCACTGCATTTAAAACCCAGGTCCCTACCTTGGGGATGATTCTAGATAATCCCTCAATTCAAAGGGGTAAATCCTGCTTTCAGGGTCGATTGTTTTTCAGTGTTTTCGATTTTCTTAAAAGGTAACTTGAGAGTTTTGAATTTTTTGCAGTGTGTATGTCATGGTTGGTGCAGATGTCCCGTTTTCTTCTTGTTTACGAGAAGTCGAAAATCCACAGAATCAGTTGAGATGCAGTCAAGAAATGGAGCCTGTAATCACATGTGATAAAAAATTCCGTACTCAGTTTTACATTGACTGGTGCAAAATTTCACTGGTGAGTTTTAATTATGTTTTGTTTCTGCAAATGTAATTAGAAGTGAAGTGGCAGGAGATAACATTTGACTGAAACCTGAATTGCTCTTAGGAACAAAACCTGGGTTTACTTTGTTAACCGAAATTGACTTCTCTTGAGTGTACGTGTTTGGCAGGCTCATTGACGGTGTATCCATTTAGGAAAGAGTATCCCCACTTTTGTTCTCAGTCTACCCTGGATTAGTTGCTGGGCTGGATTAGCTTGGCAGGTGGTCCAAGTGCTCACCCTGGACATCCAGGTGGCTGCTAAATCAGGATAAATTGTGGAGTCAGTGTGACATGCATAGAAAGTCTCAAATATGCTGCCACTACCCCATTCTGGAAGGAGAGACCAGAGTACAATAATAGATCTGAAAATAAAGCAGTATCGTGCTATATAATTCAGTGTCCTAGAAACTCATATTGTAGAGAAAGTTCAAGGAATAAAGAAAAATTGCAAGTGAGGAAAGTTAGAAACTTATCTACAGCCCCATAAATATCAAATATTTCTTTCTAAACAGCTTCTTAGATTAGCACGCTAAGAGACTTAGGAAAAGGTGGGTAAGGTTTCATATATATATGTAAGATACATATATAGAATATTTTGTATAAAATTTATATAGGTTTTTTTTTCTGGAAGATAGGAAAAGTTGTTTTACTTCTTTAGTGACCTTTAGATTTAACTTCTGTCAACTCTTGGTGATTGGTGGTGACTGAATTAGATCTAAGTTTAAAGTTGACATTTGAACAAAGTTATTGACACATAAACACAACTGTCACTGCACGTCTTAGAGAACCAACTGCAGGCAACTTTCCTGGATCCGGGGGGAGAACATCTTACGTTATAGCACTTAGCACCTGTGGCCCTTGGCCCTGACCTCTTCTTTTTATGTTGCTTGTGTCTTAGGAAAGTGATGCTCTCTTTGTCTTCTTAAATCAAGTAAAGTTATTAAGATGGTGTGGTCTGTGTGATATAGATAAATGGTGAATTTACAAAGCCCAGTATTTCAGTCATGGTGCTAATCATACAAGGGTATGAGAGTCGATGAGTGGCTGCATTCATAATTTAAATAGATGCCTCTAACCAAATCAGTAGACAGCAGGCCCTGACAACACCGTGTGCTTGTGCTGTAAAATGTTTATGCTTAGGAATATTATCTAACTTCTAAAGGTTTAAAAATGACATACTTTGAAGATTTAAATCTTTTTGGTAAGACCTTATAAATACAAAGGTTGTGTTACGTCTTCCCACAGGAGATTTCAGGAGGTTTAAGTGAAAGAAGCAGTGACTAAGCACAGTAAATGAAATCTAAAAGAGATGGAAAATCAGCCTAAATTTTACCAAAAAACAAGGAAGCCTAAGGTCAAGTTTGACAGCAAGTCGCTACTGTCTAGGATTAAAAAAGGAAATTTATCAGTTATTTAATTCTCATTCTGAAAGGAGACAAAGCATGAATTCCTTGGCAGCAAATAAAGTTTTTACTAGCACTGTATTGTTAACAAATTCCTCAACTGGAATTTTTTGGGAGAGGATACTGAAAAATGCTGCAAATAATTCTTCCCAAGTTTTTGTGTGTGTGGGAGGTGAGCCAGTGTAGCAACACATTTCACATGGCTGTTTTGTAGTAGAGTTTTAAAGAAACCCTTAGCATAACTGAATGCAACTCAGTGAAAGCAGTTCAACTAATGAAATCAGTTCAATTAATACAGTGCCAAAGTGCATTTTTTATTCTGGAACAGAATTTAGGAAAACGAGAGCATTGGGTGGATTCATGTTCCTTAGCCTACATTTCCAAAAAACTCTTTCTGTCAACTGGATGCCAGAAAGATCAAGGTTGTAATCATTAAGAAATTACCTTTTTTTTTTCGCTAACCTTGGAAACCATACCCACATACCTGGTTATCAGCAAATTTATGGTTTGTTAACATGTGCACTGGAAGTTTGTCATTGGGAAATAAGAGATTTAAATAGTAGTGCGAAGGACTTCTGCTTTGGAGAAAGGAGACCGGGAAAGCAAGGCGACATACACGTGTTTATCATGTGTATATACATGTGTGTGTGTGTACAGTGAGAATGACATAGAAAGGAGGCCAATGTAAAGCCTTCCACTTATTGCCTTTATTCATTACTCCTTCCTAGCTCCCCTCAAACATTTCAAGTTCACGGTGATAGACTAGTTGGAAAAGATTGCTTCTTAGAAATCTGTCAAAGAATGTTTTGATATGTCTAGATCTTAAAATCTCGTAACGTTTGCAGCTATTAATTTGATGTGTAATTGTCTTCTCTTGCATCAGGTTGATAAAACAAAGCAAGTGTCCACCTATCAGGAAGTGATTCGCGGAGAGGGGATTTTACCTGATGGTGGGGAATACAAACCCCCTTCTGATTCCTTGAAAAGCAGAGACTATTACACGGATTTCCTAATTACCCTGGCTGTGCCCTCGGCAGTCGCATTGGTCCTTTTTCTAATACTTGCTTATATCATGTGCTGCCGACGGGAAGGCGTGTGAGTACTTTAAAACACTAATGAAAAATTAGAGAGCCTACTAAGATAACAACATATAAGATTCCATTTAAAAGCCAAGTTTCATTTAATTCATAAAACACTTTATAAATGAATTGAAATTATGTTCAAGTCAAACTATAGTACTTTATTCCTTTAAAAGTGAGTTAAAATCGTTTGGAGTCTAATAAATCAAATTAGGGGATATAATTGCTTTATTCAAAAATTCTTAAGGCTAGATGTAAATTCACGCTGGCAGAAACAGTCCCGACAATAACTGAGGCTGGGTATTTTGGCCGTTCAAGCCACCATGTGTAAGCGGAGGCTTCGGAATCTATAGACATGGTAATTGCCCTTTAAATAAATAAATGGTCTTAGTTTGATCAGGAGCGATGGTCCGAATTCTTCTTGAAATTGTTCTGCTGTCAGACAGGATGACAGTCTAAGTGTTTAAATATATAGACCCATATCTATAAACTTAGAAGTAAACTAATGAAAATAAGGCTATAATTTGAGTAAAGACTATCCAGTTCATGAATAGTTGGTACTTTCAGGACTTCTGTGTCAATTAAAATTATCTCCTGAGATTATTTGGAAGTCAGGGTAACAAAGCCAAGGGTAAAAAATTAATAAAGCAGCAAGTAACAGACTTTTCCATTTTCACATGTAGCCTGATTTCATCATGTTGTAGAATTTATTTCCAAGAGCTTGATTCTTAGAGCTTGATTTTTTTTTTTCTTTCATTTTTCTGTATGTTTCTCATCAGTATCCCATCTTCATATGTGTACTCATCCAAGTCATGTCATAAACCTGGTGGCAAATGCTGCCTAGTGGCCTTTAACAGTAACAGTGTCAGCGTTTCCACGTCATGCAAGAGCCCATGAGCATATAGTCTTAATGTTCTAAATATCAATGCTATTATTTAATTCATAAATTTTGTTTTGTTTCTAGGGAAAAGAGAAACATGCAAACACCAGAGTAAGTGTCCTCTTTCCTGTTATTTTCTTTGTCATTTTTTCTCACTTCTCAGTTGCTCATCAGGCTTCTCATGTGTGTGTCACGCTTCTGTTTCATTCGTCATCTTTCATAGTTGATTTCATGAATGTGAACGCTGCTTTCTAAATAGAGATATTTAGGAGGGATAGAAAATAAAAATTAAAAAAGGGTTTGAAAACTAAGATTATACAGATAAAAACTAAACCTAAAATATTTCAGATTCAGAATATTAACTTGCCATTTATATCATGTGATTTCCCAATCTGCATTTCTGTAAACCAGAGAACAGATGAAAAGGCCTTTCATACACGTTTTCCTGAATCTACAGTAATAAGCTACCATAAAATGAAACTTCTGTGAGTATTTATATAAGCCCCATCAGAAGCAACAACATAAAAGCTCTGGTAGTTTAATCTTAATCATAGAAATTAAATAGAATGCTAGTTTGTTACTTAGGGCTGTAATATTAACACAATGCTTTGTAGCTTAGTTTAATGAAAGACACACTTAATTAAAAATTAGTTTATAATTTTCAGTTTTGTTGAAATGTATCTTTTTCTGAGATAACTTGTAGAATGCCCAAAGTGAAATAATTATCCTCCTATTTAAAAAAAAAATAGTACTTCAAATTTTTTTCCAAATCGATGACCCACTGGGATAATAATGTGGTTTTAAATATATGTTATTTTATTTCTTTTTGACCTAGCATCCAGCTGGTGCATCATAGTGCTATTCAGAAATCTACCAAAGAACTTCGTGACATGTCCAAGAATAGAGAGATAGCATGGCCACTGTCAACGCTTCCTGTGTTTCACCCTGTAACAGGGGAAATCATTCCTCCTCTGCACGCAGACAATTATGAGAGCACTAACATGCCATTGATGCAAACGCAGCAGTAAGTATCCACTTGGAACAGTGATTATTAACGTGCATGAATATGTCTAGCTAATGTCTATAAAGATCAGAGCTTTTTGGTGTTGGAGCTTTTGTTTATATGTATGTTTGTTTGTTTATAATGAAGAGAAAATACCGAAAGGACATTGATGGTGTAGATCCCAACCCCACTGTGCTGACCCAAATTAATAGAATTACTTTCAGGAAATGCTTTTTTTTTCCCCTTCAATAATCCAAACAAGATGACATTTACTTCAATATTAAAGAAGTTGACACAGCTGATAAACTAACATGTCTGCTCAGAGATGAGTTAATTGTGAAAAGAGAAGCATATTCTAAAGCATGACAAATCGATTATTTTTAGTGCTATTATTAGAATTATTTGCTCCTGTTAACCTATAATTTTAATGTTATTACCACAGACTGATTTAATCTAAATTTTTTTGTGTGCTCTGCTTGTGTATCAAAATGAGTAGTTTCAATTTTGGCTGAAAACACAGTTTATTAGTGCAAACCTTCTCTGTTGTGTGAGGATTATGCTCAGAAAGCCTGGAAAGACAGATATGGGAGAGAGGGGTTGAGGAAACTACTCAGGTGCTCTTTAGAACGCCACGTGATATGCCTAGATCAATTTTGATGTAAATGAATTATAGGTAAAGCTGTCATTTATTTTTAAGAACATGGCTCTTTTTTCTTTTTTTAAGCATATTTTAAAAATCAATTTCCCCAAGGAAGTTGCAAGTTTGATTTTGAGACCCTGCTCTTTTTCAGTTCTGGAAATACGATAGATATTCAGAACCCCCTCCCCACACACACACACACATACACATGAACCTTGGGGTATGATATAAAAATAACCTCTTACTAATTAAAGATTAGTAAATGTATGCAACCGTACTGGGTGCATACATTTTCCCTTTGGGGTGCTTATTTTGTAACCATGTAAAATGCATATGATGATTTGAAAATTAAATACTAATTACTATGAGTAGTATAAACAGACTCAGTCAGAGTCCAAAATACTCTGGAAATCTAAATGTACTGTGAGTATTTTCCTGAATTCTTCTAACATAATTTACCTAGTGTTGAATAGGCCAACGTATGTATGTGCATGTGTGTGTGAGCAACTGATTCAAGTCCTATTAATAGTAGGGAAAATTGTGTAATTTAAAATTTGGAGTTTTGGTAACATTAATATTCTATCAGGAATGTAAATATTAGAGTGTGACAAAGTTGAGTCATACTGAATGGAGGGGATGGATTTTTATGTCTCTGATGGTTAGTGAGTCATCATAAAACCCATTTTACTAGGATTAGGTACTAATGAGAAAATTTCAATAAGATTGTAATAGTTCACAATTGAGCAATCTCTCCTGCCCATTTTAGATGAAAATTATGAACAGCCTAATCACTCACTTTCAGAATGAAAAGAGTTAAAGAATTCTTTAAGGCTACCATGTCTTATATTCTTTACCCAAGAGTACTAGTGAAATGTTGATATATGTGCTCAAAAATGAAATGATCAAATACACTTGAGAAACAGGTTTGTTTTTTAGTTTTTTAAATCAGAAGAGTTCTCAGAGCCTTTAGTGTGTTGATATGTTTTGTGAGTCCATGGGGAAAGGTCAGAAGATGTAACCCTTTAAAGAAAACAGTTTGGGAAATGCTTCTGTCGACAATATTGTCAAATTTTAGAATAGAGAACCATTCGTCATGAGTAGAGGAACTTGAATATGTTTGTAAATCAGTAAAACACTATTGCTGGTGAAGTTTAAGGGAGAGGAAAAGGTTGAACTATTTTTTTAGATATCCTTTCTAACCATATATATTATATATATTAAGTATAAGAATAGGTCCTTAAAAATTATTTTGATTTCTTGTGGTTAGGATTTTGCAATGTTGCTACTTATATACAAGCAAAGTAAAAATATCTATCTAGTTTACCACCAAATGTATCTTCCTGGTCTTTCCACAGCAAAATTGTCATTATGTTGATCACATCTTTCTTTGTAAATGCAGTAGGTCATTTTATTGAACTTGCAACAATTTGACCATGTATGTATTTTTAAACCCAGAAAACATTTATGTTATTCAGATTTCTGCTAATGGAAAAACTCCATTAACTAGTACTTCTATATAAACAGGGTACATAGATAATTGATGATGTTCACAATGATTATTCTGAGGCACTTCGAGATCATCAAGTGTGTCTGACTCATCAGAGGGAAATTAAATTACATTTGGTGTAGTTTCAGTGTTGAGTGTATATTATCTTTCTTATATTCTTGTAAATGGATAAAATGTGCACGGTCTCTATGGTAACTCCCTATAAGCTAGAATATGTGATTAACCTCATTTTCCAACCATGCCAGATAATAGGAAATTTATTGTATCAGGTTTGTCACAGCTGTCCTTTACTCAAATTCAGCTTTTACTCCTTACCTTGAAAGCATTGCCTTGTCTTTAAAGTTCTGTTTTGGTACCAAGTACACATATATAAATATTTTGGTCATCTGAATCGAACTGAATTCTTAACATTAAAATGAGATATTTGATGAGGACTTGCAGTACTTGATAATTGAGTATATGCTTGGATAATGCTGCCTGGCGTATAGTAATTAACCCTTCCTAAAAGGGCATGCATTTCATCTTCACCTGTTCTTACTAACTGTACTGACTTTGTCACTCATAAATAATTCAGCTAGATACTGGGTTTTGCATTTATTCTTCAGACTCAATACCAGAAATATCCAAGCATAAGGATGCAGCTTCTAGGCAAGACTCGAGAACATTCAAAGCTGCACAGAAACTTATTTGGGTCTTTTTAACAAGTTAATCCATGAGGTATAGAGAACTCGTGACAGTTGTGTAATGAGAGGCTGTCACAGTTATCAATTTCACAGCTATGTTTTATTGTTTTGAGGTTTTGTTTTTTGGTAGAATGCTTCATAAGACTCCTGACTTGCACCATAAATTAGACAGTAACAGATGTTTCATTATTTGCAGCTGACTCGGATAAGAGACAAAGCTAAGTTGGGTTAAAAGTGAGATGAGATCATTTACCTGTCTTGGTCAAGTCAGGGATAGGTGTGTGGTCATTGACCTCAGAAGGTCAGAAGGTTCTCTGCTCCAGGTTACAGGCAAGGTGACCAGACAGTGGGAAGAAACTGGAAATGCAACACATGCTCAGAAAGTAAAGATTTCATTTGTGCAGAGGTCCTCTCCTTCTCAGAGTACAGAGGCAATGCAGACAGCCTGTTCAAATATCACAGAGTAGAAATGTAAGGGAAATGTAATTTGATCTTTGCTAATGTAGTTATTATTTAATAACATTATTTTGGAATGATTTTCAAGGTACAGAAAAGTTGAAAAGATAATACAGAGATTTCCAGATACCCCTCTTACAGTATTTTATTATATTTGTTACAACCAAGAAACCAGCACCGGTGCTTTTGTTTTTCCAGATTTCATTAGTTTTCCCTCTAAAGTCCTTTTTCTGTTCCAGGATTCTGCCTAGGACACAATAATTGGCATGTCTCTTAGTCTTCTCTGGTCTGGTCTGGAAGGTGTCTTACGCCTTCCTTGTTCCATTGACCTTGACAGTCTTGAGGAGCACTAGCCACATATTCTGTTGAATGCCCCCCACCCCTAGTATAACTAGGGTTTCTTCTTTGTAGTTTGGTGAATAAATATTACCATTAAGAGTAAAAATAATTTTTCCCTCTATAGACAGTCCTCTTATTATAATTCATTGCTGGAAAGTCACATCATGAAATAATTCTTTAAAAAGTAAATTTTTATTTGTCTCCCCAAAAAATCATTCTGTAATTAAGGGTTATGTTTTTGACCAAAGATTTAACATCAAAAATATGTTACAGCCCGGCCGGGCATGGCTCAGCAGTTGAGCTTTGACCTAGGATCCAGGCGATCAGGGTTCGATTCCCAGCCAGGGCACATGCCTGGGTTTCGGGCTCCATCCCCAGTTGGGGGAGTGCAGGAGGCAGCCGATCAGTGACTCACACATCATTGATGTTTCTATCTCTCTCTCCCCCTCTCCTTTCCTCTCTCTGAAATCAATAAGGATATATTAATATATATATATACATTACAGATTTGACTGACATACCTCAAAGATAAAGCTTTGTGATGATTTAAATTTTAAAAAATCAAATTCCAAGTCTTAAAAGGACTGAAGAGAGATGGTCTAGTGTGGTTATCTCAAACCAAGTTGAAGGTCACACTCATATGTGGAGCTCTTACTGATTAGTGCAGGACCCTCCTTCTGGGGATTTGCACTCTGGTGGACATGTGTTATGCTGGAGCAGGAAAAGGGGTTGAGAATCCCTGATTTAAACAGTTAAAGGACCCAGGTTTGGGGATTCAGAAAGCCAGATTAGTATTCCTGGTATTTCTGTTGAGGGTGGAGGTGGGGAAGGTTGTTGTTCACTCTCTTCTACCACATGGAGTTTTAAGAGGAATAAGTTTCTCCTAATTCTCCCTGAGGGCCGTGTGCAAAAGAAAAGTGTGAAAGTGGGCAGCCCCGCACGTTATCTAGAGCATTGGGCTGCTTGTGGGTTTGGGCTTGTCAGCCTCTGGACTTTTCACACCTTCCTAAGCTGCCCGAGTGGAGAGGTGAGAGGGGCCTGTGGATTAGAAAACAGTGCCTGGATGGGGCAGAAGGATGCTAGACCTTGACAAGCCAAAAACCACTGGGAAATTGTACTCATTTTTGCAGTTTTATGGCAGGCACTGACCAGAGGATGCCAGATAATCAATTTTCTGAAAAATAACTCATTCTTAAACTTGTAATGTTTTACGTGGTCTTTTTTGGGGTACATCCGCCTCATTATTGTTTTCTTAAACCAACATCAGTGTCTGTCAGTTTTTCCTGAGTGGGAGGCATCTGCATACAGGATTGAATGCAATGCAGAGTAGGGGGAAATTCCCAGACATGTTCTGGGATGATTTTTTTAAAAAAAAATCTTTATTAATTTCAGAGAGGAAGGGAGAGGGGGAGAGAGAGAGATAGAAACATCAATGATGAGAGTCATTGATCGGCTGCTTCCTGCACGCCCCCGACTGGGGATCGAGCCCTCAACCCGGGCATGTGCCCTGACTGGGAATCAAACCCCGATCCCGTGGGTCTTAGGTTGACGCTCAACCGCTGAGCCACTCCTGGCTTGGCTCTAGAAGATCTTAATTGGCTATACAATTTTTTTTCTTATTCATTATACAAAACACAGTGCCTAATCCAGGGTAATGGGGCCTCTCTCATAACAAGAGGTAGGTTGGGCTTAATCTTTTGCAAATTAACAAGTATAAAAGTAGAATTAAGTCTTCTACTTAAAGATATTTTGTACCTAATCATTTGAGCATTTTTCTGAAGTATTTGTTACATTTGTCTTTCCTTTGGTAATAATAAAACAAACTTTATGATAAAATTCTATAAGTAAGAAATTAGGTTTCAATAAAAGTATCAGTTGAAGAGAATGTTTCAGGGGACCAAGGTGATGATTTCAAGAAATGTTAACCAGCCAAGGATATTTTGGAGCCATTAACTTTTTTTTTTTTAATTTAATGAGTATACTCTGAAAGCAGTAAATGCAGTATCTCTTTCATGGATTTTGCTTCTATAGGTTTGTACGGCATCATTTTAAAGCTGTGATAGGCTTGGTTTTGGCTTTATACAAGTAGGGGAGAAATGAAAAGAAGTAAATGAGTGTCTTCTTTCTCTATGCATTGATTTTAGTTACAATTAGGTTTTGAAGTTAACAATTATAGTAATTCCAGTTTCTTTGTGTCTTCCCCATTTAATCCACAGAATGGCCTTGTCCCTTAGTAAAAGTTACAGGGTCCAAATCAGCAAAGTTTGGACAATGTCAATTTTGCTGAAATAACTGGGAAATTTCAAAAATACATTACTACATCTTACTGTTAAATGACTCCATGCTAATTCAAAAGAGAAGTGTTTTGTATTCCACATAACTAAACTGTCATTTATTTTCAACTCTGGCACAGATTATGTGGCTTTTACACAAATCACTTAACCTTTCTTTGCTTTTGAGTCTTCAAGCAAATAGAAATATTATAATGGGTTGATAATAATCAACCTTACTCATAGAATTACTCTGCAGGATATCTAAGAATGTCAAATTACCTTAAAATGGTTGTACAAATAATAAATAATTGTGTACTTTCCCCAAATCATTTATTTATTAATTTGCAAGGTATTACCTTTACTTTCTTAAAGAATGAAGTTTGTGCACTAGCTGATTTACATAATTTTCTATTTAAATGCATGTAATTAATGGTAGTGAAATTAGAAAATAATTAATGCTGATAATTTAGAGAACCACAAGTTTTCTTAAGTCTTTTTTTCTATGTAATGCCGTTTATACATAATAATCTTTCAGTTAGTCCATTAATAACTTAATTATTCTAAAATAGTTTTATGCCTTTATAAAGGTCCTTTCTTTGAAGGATTATAGGAATTCTCTTTGAAGTCAACCCCCTCTCTCCTGTATAATTGCCTTTAGCAGCCTGTTTTTCCACCAGCGATGGAAATGGCTCTGTTTTCTTACTGAGTTGTCTGCTCCTTAACTATAGCAGTTTGTCATAGGCATTTTCCCCAGGATGCCTGAAGCAGTGCTCTTATGGGGTATCTCTCTCCAGCTCTTGAATGGAATATACATTTCACATGTGCCCATCAGAGATACATTAACACTCTTAACCCTCACCGGTTCACATGTGGTCACAAGTTTGGGAAACTGCGAAAACAGGGCTCTGTGTGTACACCCTGGAGACTCTGGGGAAGTGGAATCTCCACATTTTCGTTGAGCACATTCTCGCACACAGAAGCGCTCTCCTATAACGCATCGAAGATTCAGTTGAAGTCTCGAGGAGCTCATGTGCATTGTCCAGCTTAACCAGTTGGGGCTCATACTGCTGATACTTTCAAACCCGCAAACCAGTGTGATAGTTGCTTTCTCATACATCTCCAGATTCCTTGCCGGTTTGTGTATGTATGGCCCTTTCTCAGCCAACCGTTTCTCTTCAAACCTAGCCAAGTCCCTTGCTACGTAGAAAGCTTAGCAGTGCAGCCCAAGAGGAGAATGCGGAGGCTAGAGAGGAGTGGCGGGGTGTAGGTGGATTTTGATCCGTGGTTTTCAAGTTGTGTTCCACAGAAGGGTAAGTTGGGCTGACCAATGGCAGCCCCTTCTCCAATGACTTCATTTAAATGTTGATTTTGAATTTTGGTATCCTTGATCTACAGCTTCTGAAGGGCTTTCTTTTTCCTCTTTGGTATTTTTATTGTGTGTAACTATATTGATTTGACCCATTAATAGGCTAGGTAGAGCTGGAGAGGACAGGAAATGAGGAAGGGTGTATGTGTTTATGTGCTGCATTAGTTCCTAATGTGGAAAAGGCCCAAATTAGTTTTACCCAGGAAGCTAAAACAAAGCTCCTGTCCCCTTTCCAAACGCCCATGAAATTGTATTTTTACTTTTGTAGTAAAGATGTTTGTTTTCCCCAACTTTAAATCTAGAACTTATTTCCTCTTGTGGTTTATAAATTAATCTTTTTACTTTCATCACCGAAACCACCATAAACACCTTGTATGAAATGGAAAGAATAAATAAACCAAAAAAAATACATAAACCAACCTCCCTGAGACCACACAAGGATAAGTAGGGCTGATAGGTAATAGCAAAAGGAAGGTAATTATTGAGATGAATCCTTAAGTAACTTCCTCGATTCGAATTAGAATTGATTTTGTTATTTCCTTAACAGTATATTAAAATGGAACTGAAATTTAAAAAATAAAATAAAATCACTCAGTCATTAATATTCCTGTAGATTAAGAGTTTAAACAGCATTTAACCAGCATGTACTGTTTTCCACTTTAGATTGCTGTATTGGAACATATTTGTCTGGCTGAGATGCTTTTAGATCAATGGCTTTCAAACTTTGCTTCTTGAGGTTTCTTAGAAATGCCCTAGGGGCCAGCATGTGGGGCATAGGAAACAAAGCAGGAGGGATTCCTCGCTCCCGGGTTTCAACTGGGGCAACCTCACGGTTATCTCTTTTGTACGTCAGGAGTTCTGCTTAGGATTTCAATTAAAAGGAATTCCATTGCTGAAGAGAAACAAAAAAACTTTGAAAATCCCTGGCTTGGATCAAACCCTACTCTGTAGCAAGGGGCTAACGCCTAGCATTTATTCTACCTCAAATCTGAATTGTACTTTTTTGTACACTAATTTTAATACCCCAGATTTGAAACTAAATGGGTGTATGTGAATGTTAATAAACACATGTGTTATGTGAACCTCTGTAAGCATCTTCACTTTTTGCATGTATTCATTCAAACCGTATTTATTTCATGCTTATTGCTGGGGATACTAAACAAAACAGGATGGCTCTTACCGTTGAGGCACTTTGGGGCAGTTAAAGGTGAGGGAAACCCAATGGCAGTCGGCATGTAAAGCATGCTAAATGGTAAACTGGGGTGGTGCCTAGAGAGTGCGGAGGCATAAAAGAGGTAATGCTTGAGAGGTTATCTTTTTAATTAAAAATAATAAGTTAAAATGTAGTTAGCATTCTTGGGGGTATTTTTAAATTCTAAGAGTAATTATGTGTTCACTGTAACAAATTTTGAATTTACAAGGACAGATGGGAGCTGGTTGGGTGCAAGAAATGGTAGTGGGCCATGGTGGTGGTGGTTCTGTTTCAGGCAGTCAGGGAGGCCCCCATGTAGGGTCCAGATATATATTTTTAAAATATGTCTTTATTGATTTCAGAGAGAGGAAGGGAGAGGGAGAGAGAGAGAGAAACATCAATGATGAGAGAGTCATTGATTGGCTGCCTCCTGCTGGGCGGCCCTGACGGGGAATGGAACCGAGATCTCCTGGATCATAGGATGCTCAACCACTGAGCCACACCGGCTGCTCGGGTCCAGATATATTGATGGCCTTCTAGGGCACACTGAAAATCTGGAAAGTTAGTTTGTAGGTAGGTGTAAGAAAACAATGAAACGTGTGATATTTGAATGACATAATTAGATTTGTGTCTTGGAAGATCATGTGACAGTGTGCACAGTGGATTATAAGGAAGCAAGAGTGGGAGTGAGAGAAACAGTTCCGATCCGTTGCAAAGATCCAGCGAGAAGTGATGATAGCTTCAGCCAAGTTAGCAATGGAGCTGGGAAAGGAGACAGATACAAATAAAACTGAGGAGAATCGTCAGGAGTTCTCAGGTGCCTGGATGTGAGGACTGAAGGAGAGGGAAGGGTCAGCGATGACTTCTGTGTTCTGACTAGTGCAGCGGGGAGGATGGCAGGTGTCATTCCCTAGGCTGGGGCGAGAGGAGCATAGGTTTAGCACAGTGAATGAAGATGGTTATATATGTTGTCCTGTGAGGGTGTGTGAGTGTGTAAATGGGTTCTAGACCTGGATCTGCAAGTGTACAGGTTACAGACACAAGCCCTGGAGCCCCTGTGTTCACATCTTTGTCTGCCCCTTCCTAGCTGTGTAGTCTCTAAGCCTGTTTTTTCATCCGTAACCTGGGGGAAATAATACCTGCCTCCTGGGGTTTGTTGTGAGGTAGGATATTGCATGTAGTAGCAAGTCCATGAGTGTTAGCAATACTGTTCTTATTCGTCTTCCTTGGACCTCCGTTTCCTCATCTAGAAGCTCATGGGTGTGTGTGGGGGTGTCTGCTGGATTAGATGATTTCTGGGGCCCTTTCTGGCTCTAAAGGCTTTCATTCGAATATGCCTGTCCTTTGTTTACATGTGTGTATGCAACCCGTTTTACTAAAAAACATTAATCGTTTCTAGGAACTTGCCACATCAGACTCAGATTCCCCAACAGCAGACTACAGGTGAGTACTAAATAAACTGATGTACTAATACATGGATGTTTATGAGTGACGTTAATAGATTAAAAGCTAATTATAGCACTCTATAATTTCTGAAGCTTTAGCTTTAGCAAGTAAGGCAAAACAATTGTGTCGTTCCTTAATCAGAGTTAGAACTTCAGAATAATAGCTTGGATTATTGGTTAGGTTGGCATCAGCGCGATAAACACAGGGTAAATGATCTTAGAGCAAAAGCGTCCGTGGAGGTCCCGTCTAATTAAGGGAGACGGAATGAAATCCCTTCCTTCAGCCAAGCTCCCTATTCTTCCCCGTGGTATGAAAGATCCTGAGCTTAGATGCACCCAGGATTTGTCTCAGTAAGTGAGCAGCTTGAAACTGACTCTTACAAAAGGAAACCATTGTGGCTAATCACTGAGGCTTCAGGGGGATAAATGAGAAATGGTTGGCCCGTCCTAATGCCACTTTTAAAAGCCTCATCACATGGCCAATGACGACAAGATGGTGGACAATCCTCCCTGGACTATTCTGTTTCCCTAAGACTTGCTTTCTTTTGGTTTATTTCTTTCAAGTGTCCCTAAAAATTTTCCACAGCCAATTATTTCATTCATCTCAGTACCGAGTAGATAACTTATTCATGATTGTCTTCTAATTAGTGGTTGGTTCCTAGTTCTAATTGCCAGGCAACCAGTAATGCCTTTTTAGCTCTTTTGGAAAAGCAAGAGAAGTTTGAAAAATGTTGTAAGTTGGATGTGGAATTCCGAGCCTGAATAGTGGTATTGTGGTAGGGGAGCTACTAAGTACGTCTCTTAAAAACATCAGGCACATATAGAAATGTATTGGATATTTTCATTCAAAAATTATCTTCTCTGTTACTGCTTTCGGGAATTTAAGGAGATTTTCGTTTGACAACTTTTCAAAGATTTGAGGCAAGTATAATGAAGTTGTTCATCAGATTTTAATTACGAGATAACATTTATCAGGATTTCCCCCCACAATTTTGATTACTTGTTTTAATTAAGTGCTAACATGTTTCAACAAGACTGTTCAATATATCGATGTAAACATTCAGGAGATTGATGAAGGGACAAACTTTGTTATAAATATGTTATCTAAAGAGCAAAGAAATAAATGAATTCCCACTACTTCTAATTACATGGCTTTTAGTTTTTTAAAGAGGAAAAAAATTTAAAGACTAGTTCTACAATGGAAATGCTAAAACTTCTTTAACCTGATAGACTTCCATCTCTCCAGAGACGTCTTTCCTCTGATTTTTAATTATTTCAGGCAAGGAATGAATAGAAGTGAGACAATTTCTCGCAAAACAGAAATATTTTTTTGAATATTTGAAAAAGGTTCAGATTTTACGTAGTCTCCCACTGGGGGAAATAAGGAAACCTAAGTAGATGATATTAGGGAATTTCCTTGATAGCACTATAGATTTTTAGCAAGTAGCTCTGTTAGCATGCTTCATTTTAGTAATAGGCAGCATTTCCAAATACAAGAACAATTTACGCCTAAGTCAATGTGATAAGAGCCCAGAGAATTTCCCTAGGGGGATTTTAGGTTGTTCAACCTATTTTTTTAAATTATTTTTCTAAAACAGGTTTTGGGGAGCAGGCATTTTGCTTGAATCAGGAAAGCTTTGGTCCTTTTAGGTTAATAATACCATAGCCTCTTACCCTCTTGTTTTCTTCTATTTTTCTGTAATTTGGAGCATATTATTGACTAAAGTGCTCTACTTTCCCCATGGTTGTTTTCTTTCTTCACATCTTGTTTTGGGTGCGTCTCCAAAGTATTTAAATGCTAAGAGGGGGAGAGACTACTCTAGCATTTTTAAAAATAATTGTGATAGACTGTTGTGTTTCTGCCTCTGATAAATGTAAAATCAAATAGAGTCAAGTCTCCTGGAGAGAAGAGCTAAATGGGAAGGTTCCATTCTTTCTTCCCATTCTGTTCGTTTAAATGAAAAAGTAAAGTTTGTTACTCAGTTTCTAAGTCGCTCTGTTCTGTCCACATGGAACCAATGTGTATTGTCACGGGCACAACACCCTCTCTGTTTCTCCACCCTGGCGAGCGCAGGACCACAGAGAGGGAACGAGATTTTTGCATGATTATCAGGAAATAATAATTCGCTTTTCCCGAGTCCCTCGGAGCAGTATGCTAAGTGTCACGGTTTTCTTCTCTTGACTTTTGGGGTGACAGTGGCAAATAACAGTGTACAGTTTTCTTTGTGGAGGTAATTTAAGCACAGCCTGTCACTTGGGTGCCAACTGATTTATTTGGAGCTGCCTATATGGAATTTGTCAGGGGAGAGTATATTTTGAAGTTTGTTTTACTGAGTTAGTTGTTTTCTTTTAAATGACTGTCAGAAGTTTAAGAAATGAACTGGCTGCGGTGTTGTAATCCTAGACTTCAGCACTGGCTGGGGTAATAGAGCAGTTAAAAGCTGACAATAAGTAACACTCGCTTTTGGACCAGGCCCAGGCCGTTAGGATGGATGCCCCTTCCCTTTTTTCCCATTTTCTCATCTCTTCCAACCCACCTGGTGGTTTCTAAAAAGCCGCGATGCCGAGGTTCAGCGATACACCCTGCAGTCGGCGCGTTCTGCTTGTCGCTGCGGGAGGCATTTGCAGGCCCTGCCTTTTGACAGACACAGAACATTAGAGCTCTGGCTCGAGACGGAAGGGACTAAGGTAGAATTTTTCCTCTTTAAAAAATTTTATACCAAATGCAGAGAAATTACTTTAAATTATGGTAAGAGGATAGAAAATCACTCCTTGCCATAATATGTTTTGCTCAAAATCTACAATGCCCATGCCCTAACGCATGCCCTTATTCGTTTTACACATTGCAGGTAAATGGTATCCCTGAAGAAAGAAAACTGACCGAGGCAATGAATTTGTGATCAGACAATATAGCCGTTACAGCTTATCTCTTCTCTTCCAATAATGCATGAGCTTTTCTGCCATATGGTATGCATGGCAACATATTAAGTATGTACCAAATAATACAATGTAACTTTCGTTTTACCAATGTATTTCTTTTGTACTTAAAGCATTTTTGACACTTTGTAAAACATCGATGACTTTATATTTGTTACAATAAAAAGTGATCTTTAAAATAAATATTATTAATGAAGCCTAACGCCTGGTGAAATTTACTTCGAGCAGTAGTCGATTGCCTCCTATGGAGTAGGAAGCTTTTGTTGCTAAGGAACAGGTGCGTATGTTCATTCTTCATTCAGCAAGATATTGTTAAGCGTTTCCTATAAGCGAATGAAGTGTCCATGCTCTGCGTTCTAAGTGAGCGACCCACTGAAATAATACTCCTCTCCTTGTGGCCCATAAAGTCTGTTGTCTTCTATACCACTTCTTGGAGTGTTTTATACAGTAACCGTGGTTTTATGGATTGTGGATCTGGGGACATCCAGTTCGTGAAGGGCAGCCCAGGCTGCATAGTTACTTGACTCTATAATCAGAGGAGCTATTACTCAAAAAAGAGAATAGTTACCTGCTGATGGTGACATGAATTAGATCCAAAACCCCGGGCTCCCCTGTGATAACACTGCATGCCAGGCTTAGCAGAGTTTCCTCCATACTATGTCAGTCTGCTTCATGCGTGTTAGGTCAGAGGGCCAGCAGGCCGTCTAGCAGGGCTGCAGCAAGCAGACTGGGCCAGCCAGGAGACCTTTCCTTACCCTGCTCTGGGGAGGTTTCTGTGTCATTTGTTAATTGGCCAGAGGACACACAGATGCTATCTAAATCTGATTCCAAAATCCCAAAAGATTCCCTATTAGCATTGCATGCAACTACTTGTCCTCCACTTAGGGAGAATGCTCCATCATGTCCTTGACCTTGGAAACCCTGCCCACACTCCACTTCTTCCTGGGACTTCACAGAGAATGTAGGTTATTTGATTTCTTAAAAATGTACCTCCTATTCTTACTCCTTTCCAAGGCAATGAGGGCAGTGCTACTGGCAGTTCTTTGGGACTGATCATCTTAAGGTTGTAAATACATTGGGTCAGGTTCGTGTCCTAGGAGGAATCCAAGGTCGTCATGACTCCAGACAACTAGATGGTGGCACAGTGGCAGAGAATTCATGTACTGTTGCTCCTGCCAGGTGATAGCAAACTGTTCCTGGTAGTCCAAGTGAGCAGGAGCAAAGTAATACATGATCCATAAATCAGGAACTGCAGATCAGGGATCAGGAATTTGGTTCATCTATTCCAGGAGAGAGGCCACGGTGGGGATTAGAAAATGCACTTGGAGTGAGCATCAGTTTTTGCACTGACTCTTTGGAGGAATTGGGATAAGAGGAATCATTGGCCAGCATCTCACAAATCTTTGATAAGTGCTTTAATCTCTGCACTTTCCTCTGAAAAAGCAATCTTGCCTCTGACTTTATATTTTGATAGAAAGAGTCCAGATAGTTTCTCATTGGTTGTTAACAGCCTTAATGGCCCTTTATGGGTCAAAAGAATGTGAGGATTCTGCCACATGCTGTGGATTTCTATCCCAACTAAACATCCTCATAGTGTGCAAATGAGTACATGGAGAGTTAGGGGGTCCCAATGGTGAACTTAAATTAGAATATTTTTTTTCAGTTTGGCCACCATAAGGCGTTGCCCTAAAAAACCAACTGCAGTGGTTTTCTGCACTTTCAGGAATTCAAGAAAACTCAGATCTAGGTTCCAGATATCCCTGAAAAGTTTGTAATTTTTCCTTCCTCTAAGGTATAGTCACTCGATATGTTATGACTTCTCTTTGGGGATGTTCACATTTTTAAGTCCACACTGATGATAGAAAAGAGCATTAGATTAAAATGTAAGGCTAAATTTGAGGCTAAGAGAATACTAAGTGGGTAATTAAGTAAAAAACAATGCCAAGGTCAAAGCTTCCAAGTACAAATACAGCAAGTAGGGGTCTATAACCTCTGGATCGGTGGTCCAAGATTTGAGCTATTTCTGTGTCTTCACTGTATCCAACCGAGTGGATGAATAAAAACTTTCAGGCAAGTTTTAAGTATTTTAAGATGGAGCTGCTTCACAAATTTGCATTTTGAAATTTCCCATGGAATACCCTACTAGCTGCTTATGTACCGCACGTCCAGTATGTTAGTAGGAGTCAGGTCATGTTCTGAGGATACCATGACAAGCCAAACAAAGCACAAGCTCTGCCCTCAAGGCGTTTACATCAAGACGTTTAATCAAGGGTTCTTACAAATACATGTCAAATTGCAATTGCAAGGAATGCTGTGAGGCAACGTAATTGGTGCTATAAAACCCGGTCACCGTGGGATTTGACCTAGTCAGCGAGGCCTGAGATTTCCTGAGGAAGTTTGTGCCGATATCAAAAGGTCGAGTAGAAATTCATAAGATAACGTGGAGTAAGGAAGGACGCTTGAGGCAAAGAGAACATAAGTGCTTTTGAGAGAAGAAATCCTAGTGAATATGGGTTTTGTTAGAAAGCCCTGTGCAGCCAGAGTGTGGGGTATAGGGGAGGAATATTGGGGAAGTGTGGAGCCAGTGACCCAAGAGGTGGGTAGGACCAAACCATGCGTGATTGTAAAGGCAGAACAAGTCTGAAGCTTTTAAGAATGAAGGATGGTGGCGTCATAGTTGGCATTTTAATAAAATCAATCCAGTTCTAATATAGTAAAGAGAGAGAGTAGGTGGGCAGAGTGGGTGTGGATAGGCCAGTTAGGAGGCTATTGTAGACACAATTGGAGAAATAGTAACTCTGATTAGAATAGTGGTGGAAGAGATGGAACAATGGGCAGATTCAAGAGCAATGGAGATAAAGAAAAACAGTTGGTACACTCATGCTTTGAAATGGTGTTAAGGAGAAGAAAGGAGCTAATTCTGATTTTGGGAGGGAGGGTCAAATGGTGCAGTCCATTGAGACAGGAGAGACTAGAATACATGGTTCTGTGGGAGGATTTTGCAGAGAAGAAGCCAAAGCAGAAAAGTGCCAATCTTTTTGAAAAAAATTTCCCCCACTTTTATTGAAATATAATTTGCATATAACATTGTGTTAGTTTAACATGTACAACATAATGACTTGATATATTTACATATTGTGGAATGATTACAACAAGTTTAGATAACATCCATCACCTCACATAGTTACCAAGTTTTTTTTCCTGTGGTGAGAACATTTAAGATGTACTCTCTTAGCAACATTCAAATATACAATACAGTATTATTAACTATAGTCACCATGTTGTATTTAACATCCCAGAACTGATTAATCTTATAACTAGAAATTTGTACCTCTCGACCACCTTCACCC